TATTATCTTATTAATCTTAATTTTTTTCTAATCACTTCCGGTGGCGCAATTTTTACTCCATAAGCTCGTGCGTAGGCTTCCATTAAATGCTGATTATCTCGAAAACGAATTCGGGACAACTTATTTTTCTTTCCAGATTTGGAATCAGCATTAAATTTCAATTCGGAAAATCGAAGTTTTAAAAAAAGCTTAAATCAATTTCCAAAAGTAGGCAGTCACCTTAAATAGTGGGAAAAAAATCGTGCACAAGAAAAGTTCCAGGGAAAAATCCAAATTACATGTGTGTCCAAAAAATATTCCTGCAGTCATGAGGCGTAAGAAAAAATTCCTGAACAAAATAAATTGCCCACCCCCCCGCCCCCTCAAAAATCTAATAGATCGTCCCTAATCACATGAGTCTAATATCACATAACATTACATGGTCCATTTTGATCGGAGTCGCCACTATATATTATATCGTTATATTATTTCGAAACTTTTAGCCATGCATGGAATCAGACAAAGGAGGAATCAGACCATAAAACCGAAAGATAAGATGGAATTCGAATTTATTACAGAAAAAGCAATTGATCAAGTACATGTACTAGAAGGAAGATATGTATGTCTTGCAACTGGATTTGGAAAATACTATTGTTTTCGGTTTTTGGCTAAACTGAAGGCTGCATGAAGTCAGTCGAAGCTAGGCGAATATTTCCTTTGACTGCTCTCATAAAATCCGTACTAAGTTCACATTAAGCATTACTTACATTTTGTCAGCTCTTGTTTGTAAAGACAAAAAGATCTTACAGTGAGAGAAGACCGACCTCATATAAGAGAAGTAGGAAAACAGTAACTGAATGAGGCTTTGAATAGCCGTTTTTATACAATCGTACTGATGATATTTAGGTAGTATATAAAATTCCTAGACTGATTCTATGGATGGCGGCAAGTTTATTATTAATTTGTAAATTGCTCATCGGTGTGTTACAATGCAGCTACATTTGAACCTACTTTTCTATGCTCAATAAATTCTACTACGATTCTGCCTTTTTTATTTTATTCATTTCAAATGGAACTGTATTTAGTCATATATAAATAGAAAATAAGTGGACAGAAAGCGAGGAAATTTCACTTCCGGTTTATTTAATATGCGCGAGCCTTGTTTTCGTTTGCACAGAAAATTAAGTTAAGGTGACTGCCTACTTTTGGAAATTGATTTAAGCTTTTTTTAAAACTTCGATTTTCCGAATTGAAATTTAATGCTGATTCCAAATCTGGAAAGAAAAATAGGGTGTCCCGAGCTTGTTTTTGAGATAATCAGC